TACCCGGGAAGACCCCTGTTTATGGTAATTTAAACTCCTCTGTTCTTCAGTGTTTATGTTTGCAGAGTTTTTTTTTTAGGTTGTATCCCTCTAAACACTGTAATTCTCATAGCTGAGGTGAAACGTGTTGGAGACACTGTTTCTTGGCATGGCCACCCAGTGTGTCCAGGTGAAAAATGTACAGAAGACCACACCTCAGACCCTTTCCAACCTTTGCCTCAAGATTAATGTCAAACTGGGTGGAGTCAACAACATTCTTCTTCCACAGGGCAGGTGAGGGCAGCTGCTCCAAAAGCCTTTGACATGTAGAATAAGCTTAAGGCACTTTTCTGAGTCTTTGTGCTGACTGTCTGTTATGTCCTGGGCTGTTTTCCCATGAGGAAAGGAATAGATCACCCAAAAATGAAAATTATTTTCTCAGTCTCAAATTGTTCCAACCCCGTAAAATTTTGGTTCATCTTTTTGGAAAACAAATTAAGATATTTTTAATGAAATCTGAGTGGTTTCTGTCCCTCCAACACAAAAGTCATTAGTGTTGTAAAACGAATCCATATGAATGAAGTGGTTTAATCAAAGTCTTGTGAAGAAGTATGAGGATCACTTTATATGATGAACAGATTTAATTTAGGCGTTTATTTAAATCTAAGCAGTGATCGACACGCATATATACGTAGAGCACATCACATTTGGTAAACATGGAAGCTCAAACAGGTTTGTGTGATGTATGAGAACCAAAGAGGCATGACCAAATTAAATTGTGCATCATATATATAAAATGATTATATCTCTTCACAAGACTTTGATTAAACCTTTTGATTCATATGGATTTGTTTGACAAAAATTTAATTACTTTTTTGGATCACATAAAGTGATTGTTCCTCTGATGATTCATTTTATGACCTCTTCATGACCGTTTGGTTTCCTGTCTTTTCAATGGAGGGACAGAAACCACTCAGGTTTCATTAAAAATATCTTATTTGTAAAATGTTCTTTTGGGTTCGGAATGAACATTTTTGGATTTATTTTCCCTTGGGAGGAAAATCCTTTTATCACTAAACTATCCTGCACATCTTTTTTTCATCTTTAGGCCCTTGGTGTTTCAACAACCAGTCATCTTTCTGGGTGCAGATGTAACTCATCCACCAGCTGGAGATGGCAAGAAACCCTCAATTGCTGCTGTAAGACCTGACAGCCTTAACATGACTGATTATGCTCATTGCAGTGTGCCAAGTAGCATTAATACCACAAGTGTGACCAGTAGTATCGACTTCTGGTGCACAATTTTAAGCCAGATCATATTGCCTCTTAAAAAGGCTTTTAACATCTTTTTTGGTGGCATTTAGGTTGTTGGCAGTATGGATGCCCACCCAAGTCGATACTGTGCCACGGTTCGGGTGCAACAGCACCGTCAGGACATCATTCAGGATCTGGCCACCATGGTGAGAGAGCTGCTCATCCAGTTCTACAAATCCACGCGCTTCAAACCAACACGCATAATCTACTACAGAGATGGCATCTCGGAGGGCCAGTTCAACCAAGTAAGCTGCAGACCTGCACCTTCTGCCAACACTTGATAAGTGTGCTGAAACATTTAATTGAATCTTCGTCATCCTATTTTGACCATGCAGGTTCTACAGCATGAACTGCTGGCTATCCGGGAGGCCTGCATCAAGCTGGAGAAAGATTATCAACCAGGAATCACCTTTGTAGTAGTGCAGAAGAGACACCACACCAGGCTCTTCTGCATGGACAGGAATGAACGGGTCAGTCATTGCACAGGCACAATTTGTATGATTGCAAGCTGTGCTTTTAAGTGTACTCCTTTCATTGAAAATATACAAAAAATATTTATAAATGTGGTTATTGCAAACATCTTGCGAAGTAAATGGTAAAGCGTTAGTTTCAATGTCCTGAACAAATTGTTTGTAAAACAGCAGAAACCTTTTTTTTTTTTTTTTTTTTTTTTTTACTTTTTATTGTTTAATGTCTTTTTTTAAATTTGCCTTTCAAATTGACTGTTTTGTATTCAAGGTCGGAAAGAGTGGCAACATCCCTGCTGGCACCACAGTTGACACCAAAATTACTCACCCATCTGAGTTTGACTTTTATCTTTGCAGTCATGCCGGAATTCAGGTACCATTGAATATTTTAAATGGAATATCAATTAGAGGTCGACCAAGAATCCTCAAAATCATAGACTTTTTATATAATTTGATTGCATTTGAATGCTTTATTCCTAGTTATCAGGTACTTTAAAAAGTAGAGGTTAATTTGCTTTAGTGTTGGTGAATATTATATTTGTCTTAGAGTGTGTGTGAGTTTTTAATTGCTGAATCTCCACAGGGAACCAGCAGGCCGTCTCACTATCACGTGCTGTGGGATGACAACCATTTCACCTCTGATGAGCTGCAGGTCCTCACATACCAGCTGTGCCACACCTACGTGCGCTGCACCCGCTCTGTCTCCATTCCTGCACCAGCCTATTACGCCCACCTGGTGGCATTCCGTGCCCGTTACCACTTGGTTGATAAAGAACATGACAGGTACTGAATGTCTGAATGGCAGTTCATTGCAAAGTAATAACTACTTTTTTTTTGTCAAACCACATTGTCTAAGCTGTTTTTTTTATTTAACTGATAACATGTTGAGCAGGCTATATAGCATCGCTGTCAGTGGAAACCTTGTATGTCTAAAACAGCTACTTTTCAGGTAGTGGAAAAAGCACTTTTTAAAGTTTTAACAGAGAAAGGTCATTCCAAAGCCTAGGAGCCTCAACTCACAGGTTATACGTTTATTGTAGCTATGTGTGCCTATTTATTTATCTTTTTTCTGTCAATTTGCCAAAATCTCATGTTATATTGGCTATGACTCGAGGACAAATGCTAGACACTTCCCTGCTCCTCAAATCTGTAAAAAATTAGACTTTATATAATATATAAAGAACACACAGGGGTTCGGAATTAAAGAAAATACAGTACTTATTCGAACAAACAGTTCCCTATTTACCCTTGAATTGCAAACAAGCAGAGACGGTCCAAAATGTGTTTGGCGCTGCATTCACGATAGAGGTGGGTTGAGTTATGAGGTTTGAGGAACCAATGAAGTTTGGTTTAGTCACACGCTCTTTTTAATGCTTTTCATTGTTTAAATATTTTGTAAACCCATAGTGAGACGTAAAAACCGACCAATAGTAATGACTTGTATAGAAAGACGAGGTACTCTGGAGATTTGCCCGTTTGCGATGATGGCCTTGTTTGGTGTACTTTAAAAAGAAAATCTCTGCTTCATACAGTATGCTTAAGTAATTCTTAATAATGCTTCCAACTCCGTGTGATTATTGCATTTATTATGCATTTCCACTAGGTCTGATTTTATGTGTGTGGTATCTGTTTCTTGGCAGTGCTGAAGGCAGTCACACATCAGGTCAGAGTAACGGCAGAGATCAGCAAGCCCTGGCCAAAGCTGTTCAGATCCACCAGGACACACTGCGCACCATGTACTTCGCCTGAACATAGCCAGAAACAAGCCCCACATCCTGAAAACAGCACGGTGTGTGTGTGTGTTTGTGTTTGCCTCATGAGAACCTTCAAATGGGGGAAAAAACAATAATCGTCATGCTGTTAGGTTTCCCATTGCCCATGTAGTCAATTACCAAACATCCTAAATATCCATGGTTTTTAAAAACTGTAACTTATTAATTTATCTCTTTTTTTCCCTTTAGTTTGGTGGGCATGATTTGTGTATCTGTTGTGCATGTCAGATTTGAGGTTAACATGTTTACATAGTCAATCCAAAAATTCAGATTATTTTTACACTGAAAGTTACATTTGCATCCGGATGGGCTTGATTTAATACTATTGCCAAGGCTGGTGATGGAGACTGTTGAACAGTAGTTTTTACAAACTCATCAAACCAATGAATTCGGGTTAGTTTAGGATAACACGGATCAGGTTAAGGGGTTGTGGGGATGCAGTTTCCACAGCTAAATTATTTATCAGCAAGAGCAAGTGCACTGACCAGAAGAGGACTTCAGGACAAAAGTACTTATCCTGTTTTGTTTCATTTATTTGTTGTGCTAATATGATTTTTTTTTATTTTTATCATGGTGTCATTTATTGTTTAGTCCAGGGCTCAGTCAACCTACTGTACCTGTCCGTGTCCGCCAATGGCATGATTAATGGAGTGCTATCATGTACTTGTGTCAGAAAATTTGAACACAGTGAGTGCAGAATCAAGAAAGGAAGTGAGAATGTAGAAATTGTTCTGACAATCAGTTTTCTGGCACTCTGCCACTCATTTGAGGCTGGTTCTCATCAGTGACGCCCTCCGTTTACCTGTGACAGGGTTCTCGGTGCAGACATATCTTTGTAATATTGATAATTCACCTGTAAAGTACTAATGTTTTAGGACTCCAAGCATTTAGATTGAGATGATCTTGTACGTACTTTAAATTTTGCTGCCATGAGCATTTCTCTGATTTGTCAGATGTGATTGTAACAACCTAACGTTTCGGTGGGTGGGTGTATGAGTTAAATTTCGTTCACATCAAAAATCGCATTTTACTTTAAGCACCTATTCTGACATTTTCATTTGACGTTGTCAAAAATATTCCCCGCAACGAAACATGAGGTAGTTTTGTGCTGAATATTGGGGAATCTGGAGTTTGCTTGGTTCTCTGTGCCGTTTCCAACGGTGAAGTTTGACTGTACTAGGTTTAAACGCTGTCGTCGCACTCCAGCTGACTTTATAGGCAATCGAAACTTTTAAAAATTAATACAGATATCAATTGCATTGTTCATAGAGACACGAGGTCAGTGAAAAGTTCATACAAATTTCGAATGCACCTTAGTTTTTTTTCTTCTTTTTTTTCCCTCTGGCTTATAACCATTTCCATGAGAATATTTCCAATCCCTTTTTAAAACTTTTTCTTTTTAGATGTAAACTGTGTGAATCTTTTTTTTTTACCTTTTGTAGAATCACAGGGTTGGCGTGTGGTCATTAGCTTTTTATTGTTTAACTGAAAAGGAACATTTATTTAGTGCGAATTGATCCAGACTTCGTTCAAATTAAAGCGCAATACATTGTGTATGTGTTGGTAAACTGTTTTTGTGTAAACAGTCTTATGCCTTCTAAAGCATATCATGATGTGTGTAGTGATTGATCTAGTGAGTCTTGTTAGTTAATTAACTGTAAGATCACTTCCCCAAAATAATGTTTCAATTTTAACTTGAAATTCTTGGGAATTTTTAACCATCTTTTTCTAACTATGCATTCTTAACCAAGAGATTTTAGTGGTATGTTTATGTATGTGAATTTAGAACATTTGTAATGTAGTCGTTTTCATGCTGGGTACTTTTAGTCGTGTAAATAGTGCAAACCCTGTACCCACTGTAGCAGTATTAGCTTACAAAATACTCTATTTTTATTATTAACAATTGGATGTTCTTTGTATGGCTCTCAATTATTCCTGTTAGCCGAACAAGATTGCATATGTACTTGTAGTTAATGTCCTACCATAACTGAAGCACAATAGGACATTATAATTGTAGGTGCTAGAGTTTATTCTTGAGACTACCATTTTTTATATATATATATAGATCTTGTTTAACTCCAACTCTTAAACAAGAACCATAGACTGGTCAGAGAGCTTAATGGGTATGTTTGGTTTTCGATCTGGTGAAATCTGACATTTTGACCCTGAAACCTTTTGCCATTTTCTAAACCCAACAGACTGTGTATAAGGGGCATTTTAATTTATCTTCAAATACTTGATTAGAGTCATGATATTGTTTGGCGCTGGTCTCAACTCGTGAAAGTAGATGCACTTTGAAGAGCAATGGACACAGACCCCTAGTTCCAGTGTTTATCTGGATCATGAGTACACTCTCTGGGTGCAGTTGTGTGGAAATGACTAGATGTCCTACCTCTTGTTACCTGTTACTTGTGTTATGGTAACATTACCGCACTGGTCATTTCCTCATAATTGCACGAGTGGGGAACGTTGTCTTTTCGTCCCTCTGAAAGTGAAAGTGGTAGATGTCACCGAAAATCTTTTCGTATTTGTTCAGAGGCCATACCTGCTGCCATTTAGCCTAGATTATTTAGCATTGCTATTGTTTTGTTATGGTAGTTAAGCTATGTTTTCAAAGCTAGAGTTGAGTGCTGCAAGTTTCAGATGTCATACATTTGATGTTTCATAAGTCAGACATGAATCCAAAAGAATATTTATATATGCTTTCAGTGAATAAATGGCTTAATGCTTTAAATGTGTGGCATAAGCTATAAAAATGTTCATAACTATGTAGTGTGAATTCCAGTTTCCAGTCCTTTTTCAATTGAAGCGCATTGTCGCTTTATCCATGTACTCATTTGAATATGCGTCACTTAGCTTTTTTGTGTTTTTCTTTTACAACTTTAGGTTTTTTTAATAATAGTATTTATCATTTAGCATTAGAAATATGAGAGATCATTTCTCAAACTACTTAGATTTTCTCTGGACAACTGAAACCATTATTTTCGTCCTCATGACCTGCTTTAGTTAGATGTTTGCAGAAGTTACTGAGTTTAGTATTTTAACCTGTTCAAAATCAGCACCTTAGTCAAAGGTCTACAACATATGCAATTTCTCAAATATGAAATATGAGATGTTTTTGCACTATATCAGAAGAGGTGTTCCTAATTTGCATGCTGGTGAACAGATTTGTAAGGTTAGAGAGAAGAACCATCATTTTTAGACTAGTCTTGGCCTTGTTTCACATTGGCACTAATCGATTTATAGTTAACAGACGTGAGAAGGTCTTGGGTTCTTACACTATGCAAAAACACATTTCCATTCTGAGCAGCCTCTGTTTTTATAAATGGGGTTGTTTTGTTTTTATTTTTTTGTTTCTTTTTCTCTGTAAAATCTGTCAAGCACACCACAATTATTTTTTCCACTTCACTATACTATCAACTGACGTTTTTTAATGATGCCATAAGGAATCTGATGCAGAGGTTCGATAAAAATAATTCTGTTCAAATGTTGTGAATGCAAATGTAATAGAGGCCAAGGATGAATGAAGTACGATGCTGGTTTTGTAGAGACCATCGCGTTAATCTATGCTGCAGCATCTCGCTTTCAGATTTTAAGAGGCACATTAATTAAAAATTGAAATGGTGCCTCAATTTCCCTGGAAGCTTTGAATTATCTACCAATGTTTTGACGATAACATTTAATGGATGTCTCTTGTGTCATGATTTCTAGAGTATTGACTCTTCCTGCTTTAGTGAAGCTTGTATATTGCTTTGGCGATTGCAAAGTGTCTTTCCAGCTCTGTGTGGGGTTACAGTGTCCACATGCCTCTTCGCTTTACTAAAACTAGTCAGTTTAGCTTTGACTATTAGTTTGTGCCCCAACAACTTTCAGATTTGAATTTCATTCATGTCAGACAAAAACAAAAAGTCCCATCAAACGAATTGTGCCCCCCAGCTTGATGATCAGAGGTGGTCTTTTAACCTATAGAGATATATTGCTAATGTATTTGCATTAGAACTTTGCACTATAGTGTTTTTAAGCAGAAATGTAAGCCTCTCTTTACACACCGTAGTAGTTTTGTTACTGTTCTCATTGCTTTTTAAATTCCTAAGGTGGCAAGTTTCAAAGATGCTACCTTATGATCTGCTAAAACCATAAACAGTTTGAATGTACTTCATACACCTGCATACTGGTAAATAACACCCACATTACTTTCATCTGTTTGCTCCAGTTTGTTTAATGCATGCACATTTAAAGCAGCATTGAATCGTTTGGCTTTGATTCGTCATGGTTGTGATGTACTAGATTAACAGATATGGTTGATTCAGTCAGTTGATTCAGAATACACACCGGCACAAAGATCCACCAAGTATCGCTGACGTGTGGTGTGGTGCTGTACTGTAAACTGTGTACATAAGACAATTTTTAGTTGTTTCATGTTTTTTGCCATGTATTGCTTGTATGTTTGCCAGAATTTCCAACTAAAGTTTCATCCAAAGGGTTTTTGAGATATACCACAATACCTATGTTCGTATATCCACCCAATAAGCCAAATTCACTTGTTTTAAAGCCCTTTTGCTTTACCAGCAAACACTCTGTGGTGGTCCCGTAATCATGACAGTGACACTTGCTGAGCCTCAATTCATTGTGTGCACAAACTAAACCTCAACTCAGATTCATTACAGGTCCGTTGCCATTCAGCTTGATGATTTATTGGGGCGTGACGTTTCAGACTTTTTTTGGATTTCTTCCTCCCTAGTCTAAAATGACCAAAATGTAAGCTTGTTGTGAGGGATAATAAGTATTCTGTTAAAAAGAGCACACTTCCATTAGTTCATTACATGCTAATGTTATTTATTCAAACATGAGCATGCATGTATAATAATTAAAATAGGGTCTTGAGACTGATTTATTGGAATAATTGAGAGCTTCATGGCTTTTTAAACCAACTTTGAAAAACTACCTCAATAGTATCAGGTGCTAACATTAAAATATCCCTTATATGTATATGTGCTCATGACAAAGAACAATTGTGACCAAACAACACAAGCCTATACTGTGTATCAAGTGTTTAGTTTTTTTTTTTTTTTTTTAAATTTGTAATGGTGGATCAACATGAGGGATGTTTCAGCATGTAACAAATTCGCAGGGGACCAAAATAAATATGATCTGAAAGTTTCCCTTTTTTAAAATGTAGTCATAAATACTCATCTGCTTTTAGAGGACTTCATTAAAATCATTTTCCACTTTACATTTTGACTGAAATGGTGCTGGAACAAATAGCTAGGAAGAGAGTTCAGGCCAAGATTGTTGCCAAATCATGGTGGTTGGTTTGGTGTTTATGGATATCGACTGAGTTGAGTTGATCTGATGTGTGGCGGTGTCATCCCCATGTCCATCACTAGCATTGTGCCATATTATGGATAACATACTTGACAAGAAGCGTCCAATGACCACTGCTTTGTGTTTAATGTATGTTTGGGGGAAGCTGACAGGATTCTCCTATGGAAGCAGCTTGTCAACCTGTGTCAAACGGCAATTTAACCATCGTCTTTGGAGTGCTAGGGTTATACTTGATTCTACAGCTTGATTTATATCCAGTATTGCAATAACACATTAAATCCTGATCCGTTTGATGAAAGTACCCCAACGAGTCTGCGATAAGCTATTTGTATTTAAGCATTTACGTGTAAGACTTTGGGGTGCCGTTCGTTGTAGATAATGCGCATTTACCCTGCTATATTTTATGAAGGGAATTCAGTTGTCTCTCAAACTCTGATTAAGGATGTTTAGCATCCTAAATACACTGGCATTTGAGTTTCTTGAGGGATAAATATTAAGGTACAAAAGGTTGTATGGAAATCAATCAAGTTTCTTGTTTTTCTTTGGCGAGCTTAAAAAAAAAAAAAAAACGTCCAGTGTGTTTTCTCGTGTATGTGTGCCTTTTCAAAATCTCTCCCGCCCCTGATCGGGGGACTATCCTTTTAATTTGACACTCGGCTCCACATTGAATAATTTGTACATTTTATCATGCAACCTTGAGTGAATGCTGCATAGAATCAGTATTTGTATTTTGCACTTTCTAAGCAGTTTTAAAGGATGCCCTGTTGTAATTGGGCACACAGACTATTTAAGACGAGGTATTTTCTGCTACAATAGGAATTCTAAGGAACCATATGACTTGTTGGTCTTTCTGAAAAAGTGTATAGATGTGAAGTACCTCATAAGCCTGATAAATGCTGCATAAACTTCATTTATTGTTCTTTTGTGAACCTCATTTTTCCAACAGTTTCCCCTATAGGGAGGTTTGATGCCCGCAAGCTGTGCAAGCACCTTCAGAATTATGTGATTTACCAGAGCCGCTGTTTAATAGATTACCAGTAATGCACATCGAATGCAATTCTGACGTGATACAATATCACCAAGCCTCTAGCTCAGTGGATCATGACTATTGTATGGTGATGTCTTGCAGTCAAAAGTTACAATTGACTCGGTATTGCCATTTAAGGGCTGTATCTGCTATTGCCTCTCGTCCCCAATCCCCTCACCTGTGTCTTAATGTAGCCGTAGAACTGCATTTATGGATGGATCATAGTGAAGAATTCCTGGCCTTAAAATATGCACTATTACAACATGCAAATCACTTCAGATCAGGCCATATGTTTTTGCTATTAAAACTACCTCCTGAGAATGTAGTAGTGTCCTTTTTTCTTCCTCTCCCACCCCCAAATAGCTCTGTTAATTGACAATCATCATTTGTTTTTATTTTATTTTAATTTTTTTTAGATTTGAGTTCTCAGTATATTACAAACAATTATTTCTGGGACACTCTAGTTGAATATATATTTTTTTTTTGTCGATGTTTGTCATGGAAGAGCCGAGCGACCAAAGTTTCCATTCGAAGGCTTTCTTGCACTGCCGTGTGGTGTCAAACCTCCCTCTCACATCAGCAATTTCTTTCATTTAACCTTGTGTTTGCTCCTTTGTAACATGCCAAATTAAATTTGCTGTCATTCCTGTCATGGCGAAGTCTTTAATTTCTGATTCATGTGTTTGCGTTCACTGCTAAGCTCCTTGTTGTTGTTTCTTGATAATGTAAAGTGTGAGCTTTTTTTTTTTTAAATAGCAAGATTACAAACTGAGATATGCTGTAAACCCTGCTAAAACATAATGTGAAAACGTATCATTTAATATAGCTCACTTTCGCTTGACTGTGTATTGCATCATTTAATAAACTTAATTTCCTCTGACCGATGTGTCTTAATGTTTTATATATGCCATATTTTATGTTTTTGGACATGCCTAGCCTCTGCTGATGTCTGGATCTCGCTGCTGCCAGGTTTTTTTTCCATTCCTGTTTGCTGAGATAATGTTGGACTTAAAAAAAGTCCCTCTGCTTATGTTTTTCTAGATCACCAAACAACCATCTGTAAGTGAACGCAGATTGTGTGGATTCTTGCTAACCCAAAAAACAATGTTGCCTGAGGCCAAGTTGGTGCTTTCTTTTTCTACTCGGATAACACACCAAAAATAATAAAAATATATATTGTACAGTTTAGTTTAGCTTAAAGTTTAGTTTTTTAATGACAATCCTTATATATCTGTTAAAAATTAGTCATGGCGTTTATGAGTGTCTGAGAGTCAACTTTAAACTTTCTAGTATAAACATGAAAAAGGAAAAAAAAAAAAACATGTTCACAGACAGGGAAGTCCTTAAAGTTTACAATGGCCGTGTTTCAAAACCAAGTGAATACCTACATAAGTGTTATAGAAGCTTGCAAATGATGTCCAAAAATGCTGTCTAGATAGGAAGCACACTAGGTATTGAGACACGGCAACTCTTTCAGCTGATCGCCTCAAGAAAATCTTTAAGACGTTTAGCTTACTGTTAACATTTCACTCTGTCGCTTTGTATATTAACGCTTATGGTTTTCGTTTAATATTGTGTTTGCAAAAATTAAAGTTCGTAGTTACTAAATGAGTTTTGACCAGCTCAGCTGTGAAGAGCGAGTCAGATTTTCCAATAGCTCATTTATGAGACGCACGCGAGCTCTTTTTCTTCCTGCTGATCTACAACAGTCTCTGAGGTAACGTTACGTTTATATTAAATGTTGAATGTTTTTAACATTTCACGTTGTCAAAAAAATGCTTTTGCTTTAACTCCTGTTTGCAAACAAACGTTTTTGAAGAGAAGTTAGAGTAAAAACGCGTTTTTAATGGTATTTTCCTTAAAACAGTAACGTGAAATGCACGATGGCATTTCTACGTTTCATAAACGTGTCTACGTATGTTAATTTTGCGACAAAATCGGTGAAATATTTATTCATAAACTAGCTTTATCTTAGAATTGAGTCCGCTACAATATTGCTACAATAATACTTGAAGTCTACGTCTCTTCCTAGAGTAAACAGAAAAAAAAATGATGAATGTAATGGTAAGTTATTTGGGTTTTACTTAATATCCCAGCTGGCAGCTATGGTCTGATTCCCTCGAAAAGTGTGAATCAAAAATTTGTTTTAACATGATTGAAGACCATCGCAGCGTAGCCTAATGGTAATACTTCGACCTCTTTGTCTGACCAACAAGTAGGAGTGTTGAGGAAATGTATTAAAAACTATCATTATTTTGCGATTCTGTAAAATAAGTGGCCTTTTGGGTGGCTGCAATTGTCATTAAACCTTAAACACAAAAAGTTAACATTTTCTTGCATTACGTTTCTACAGTGTGTATCGAAAAGAATATGTAATATCCAAAAGAATAGATTGGGGACGTCCACTTCATAATAGCCTCAACCTTTTTGCATCTGTATCTTGGTGCCACTGCAACTTAATAGCCTACAGTATTTTGTTGATGTCAGCAAAACTGCAAAGAATAATACAGTTAATAATTTAAAACTTGGCTTAAAGTTACTTTAATAACGTATTAAAGAAATGCAATAAATGAAAAATAAAAGCAACTAGATCTTTATTTTTATTTATTTTATTTTTTTACTTTAAGTTAAATAGCCTGCATTTAAATAATTGTGAGACTTTTTAGGGGCAATTTGCTAAAGCCCCACTTTCGCGCACTAACAAATTTAATAGTTTTTGATCTGTGAAATTATTATTTTTTTTCCCATAAATGTTCAGGCTTCACATATGCACCTAACACAGTCTCATCCCAAAAAGTCATATAACTGACGTTTTGGGACGTATTTTGACCATACGTCAATATCCGCCTTTTTAGGGCCCCCTTAAACGTCGCTAGATGGCGATCCCGGGCCGTCATACAACTGACGCTTTACCTTTAACGTCAGTAAGGTGACGGGTTAGGTTTAGGGTTAAGTTTAGGTATGGGGTAGAGTTAGGATCCCATAACCTCATCTAGCGACGTTTAAGGGGGCCCTAAAAAGGCGAATATTGACGTATGGTCAAAAGACGTCCCAAAACGTCAGTTATATAAAATATTGAAATTAAAATGTTATTCCTAGGATGTAGTGTTACCCCAAAATAGAAGTTTGTTGATTTATTTTAGTCAAAGTCCTTTCATTGTTAAGCATTGTATTAAGATCTTAAACAGATCTTAAATCATTATTCAACCCCCATTGCAAATCAAATCGGGTTTATTGGCAAAATACACCGACATTCAGCTGTTTGCAATGAACAAATCAAAAGTAAATGAAATTGCCTCAACACAATAAATGTTTCAAGTGGTTCCCCCAAATTGAACTGAAAAAGCGACTTTCAATGACTTCTGCAGTGTCAAAATTATTCAACCCCTTCATAGCAAGCATTTTTAGTACTTAGAAGAACACCCTTTTGCTGTTATGACGTGCTGCCAATGAGATGCAGAACCAGACACCAGCTTCTGGCACCGTTTCTCAGAAATCAGTCCATTCTTCATGAGAAATGTCCTCTAGTTCAAGTAATATTCTTGGGTTTGTGTGCTGCAGTTGACGGCTTCAAATCCCACTTGAGATTTTCAATGGGGTTCAAGTCATGTGACTGTGATGGCTGTAGAATCTTCCAGGACTACTACTTCAACCAAGCTTTGGTGATTGCCTCAATTACTTTTGTCTAGGGCTGGGCAACGATTAATCGCATCCAAAATGAAAGTTTGTGTTTACATAATATATGTGTGCGTAGTGTGTATAATTATTTTGTACATATAAATACACACACATGCATGTATATATTTAAAAATGTGTTCTTAATATATCAAATACTTATATTTATACATAATATTAATTGTATAAATATATATAAAGTATATAAATGCAAATATTTCTTAAATATGTACATGCATGTGTGTGTATTTATATATACAAAATAATCATACACACGTATATTAAACAAAAACTTTTATTTTGGATGCGATTAATCGAAATTAATCGTTGCCCAGCCCTACTTCTGTTTGATTTTTTTTCATTGCAAACAGCCAATAAATCTGATTTGCAATGGGAGTTGAATAATTTAATTACAACTGTGTATTCATTATGTGCTTAGAAAGTCAGGAATATGGGTTTGATACACTAAGCTCACATTGGTACAGTTAAAGGGATACACAAAAATTGGATTCACCAAAAAATGAAAATTAGCTCATGATTTACTCATCCTCAAGTCATCCTAGGTGTATATGACATTCTTCTTTAAGACTAATACAATCTGAGTTATATTAAATCCTGGCTTTTTTAATCTTTATAATGGCAGGGAATGGCTGTATATTTTTTCCATCAAAGTGCATCCATCCATGATAACCTCTAGGGGTTAAACTAAGGAGTAGTTCACTTTAAAAAAAACAAAAAAAAAACTGTTGCTGATAATTTACTCACCCCCATGTCATCCAAGATGTCCACGTCATTCTTTCTTCAGTCGAAAAGAAATGAAGGTTTTTGATGAAAACATTCCAGGATTTTTCTCCATATAATGGGAACCAAACGGTTCAAGGTCCAAAAGACAGTTTCAGTGTAAACTGATCAAAGGGCTTTAAACGATTCCAGACGATGAATAAGGGTCTTATCAAGCGAAACGATCGCTCATTTAAAAAAAAAAAAACAAAGTTTAAGTTTTATAAGCTCAAAAGTTTTCCTTGCTCTGTTCTGTGATGCGCGTTCGTGACTCTCTTGTTCAAACTCGTTTATCAAAATGAACGAATCTTTTTTTCGTGTCATTTGGTTAATTCAACGAACGAAATAAACGTGTTGACTCGGGAAAAGATTCATTCATTTTGATAAACGAGTTTGAACAGGAACGCGCATCACAGAACAGAGCAAGGTGACCATTTGAGATTAAAAAACTTAAACTTTATTTTAATTTTTTTAAATGAGCAATCTATTCGCTTGATAAGACCCTTATTCATTGTCTGAAATCGTTTAAAGCCCTTTGAACAGTTTGCGGTTTGCACCGAAACTGTCTTTTGGACCTTGAAACTTTGGTGACCATTGAAGTCCATTATATGGAGAAAAATCCTGGAATGTTTTCACCAAAAACCTTAATTTCTTTTCGACTGAAAAAAGAATGAGATGAAAAAAGAATGACATGGATATCTTGGATGACATGGGGGTGAGTAAATTATCAGCAAAGGTTTTTTTAAAAGTGAACTACTCCTTTAATAAAGTCCTTCTGAAGCGAAGCAATGCGTTTTTGTAAGAAAAATATCCATATTTTAAAGGGGTGATGAACTGAGAAATCAAATTTTCCTTGAGCTTTTGACATCTTAGAGGTCATCATATTAAAAGATTATCCTGCAAGTTTCAGAACTCAAAACGTCCTTATTAGTCTAATAAAAGCTAAATTAACACCAGGCTCAGCAAACGACTCGTTTGTGTGGGGAACTATGACGTCAAAGAGGATAAAACACGGCCGGTTAAGCCCCGCCCACCGATTCACACATAGCTAAATAACATAGGACTACCTCGTGATGACAAACCAGATCGAGCTACCGAGCAATACAAAATATTGTGTAGCACCTGGTTGTGGAAGAAGACAGTTGCTGAATAAGCTTCCTCTGGATTCCAATAGGACTGAATGGTTAAACTTTATTTTTAATGACGTTCCAGCCGATATGGTAAAACATTGTCCGTCTGTTTGCTTCATTTCACTGAGGATTATTTTGTAAACAAGACTGGATTTTCAGACCGATCAAGAGTAAAGAACGGTGCTGTGCCGTCTAAATTGGATCTGACAGGAATGATGCAACACACGGACTCTGGGTCGAACATGTATGGGCGAATCATTCCGGTTGCCATTTTACAACATTGGGCGTTTTCAAAACAATTTCTCCCACGGCACTGACGAGTGAGTTGAAACTCATTATAATATGCAAAACTGTTATCCACTCACAGCAGTGGGCGTTTACATCCAAGTCTTCAATGTGAAACACCTATAAAAATCGAGCGTTTTTGAGCTAGGCTCAAAACTAGGGTAGAAAATAGCCTATTACTTATTCATTTTGATGTTTTTGAATGAAAAAACCAAGCGAATGTCATAAGTTGACCTCAGACAACAATATAATAAAATTTAATAAGTCAGTTCATGACCCCTTTAAACTTTATCGACTAAAATAACTAGCTTTCGGCAGACATCCTACGCAAGTCAACTTACACCATAAGAGTAACGACGATGTATGACATAGGAGTACACTCCAAGGGGTAGTGTAAACTTTGACTCTCTCGCGGTTCAAACAAACAGGGCTGGACAACAAACTTCAGCTTCTCCGACATTTCTTTTTAAAAAATCTCTAATTCGTGACTGGTGTTTCGCTTCCGCGTTCATAAAGGTCAAGGGTTACTCTTTCGTCATCTGCAGTAAAATATCCTACCACTATAAAGCTTGGAAGAGCCAGGACATTTTTAATCCAACTCTGATTGTATTCGTCTGAAGAATAATGTCATATACATGTAGGATGACTTGAGGGTGAGTAAATCATGGGCTAATTTTCATTTTTGGGTGAACTATCCCTTTAAGGGCAGTTAACAAAAATCGCTTTCTTTTACTGCTGCTTAGTGTCTGGTCAATAGCACCAGTATGCTGCGGTTGCTCCAGGATAGAATGAGATGGACGTGTGTGTCCCGGTGCCTTTTCCTGCTGTACTCAGTGGGCAGCGTAGTGACCGAACTCGAGCTGGACGGCTCGGACCGGGACTGGGACTGGGGTTCTGGATTACACGAGCTCCTAAACAGCTTTCCAGCAGATAGTCCTTTTCTCAGAGAGACGCCCGGCCGACCGGCCAACTGCACTCAGCGCTTCTGGCTGCCTCCGTCCTCCCCTGTGTGCTGGGATGATATAGCGGGACCAGAGGAGTTTGAGAAGTCACGCATCCTTGTGCTGCAGAACAGGGCGGCACTGCAGGCTGTATCCACATCCAGTGGTGTCGAGGAAGGGGGGACATCTTATGATCAACAGGCCAGGGACGATGTGCAGGGCGTCCAGGCTGACCATCTTGTCGTGACTCAGACTGCCGATACAATGCAGAAGGTGTTCATGGAATTGGATGAAAAGAGGAAGGAAGAGAAAGAGCATTATACCTTCTCAAGGTAATTGAGTTTTGAACGTTTTCATTGTAATTCGTGAGGTTGAAAAAAACATTAAAGGAGTAGGTCACTATAAAAATAGACATTTGCTGATAATTTACTCACCCCCATGTCATCCAAGATGTCCATGTCTTTCTTTCTTCAGTCGAAAAGAAATTACGGTTTTTGATGAAAACATTCCAGGATTTTCTCCATATAATGGACTTTACTGGTAACCAAATGGTACAAGGTCCTAAAGACAGTTTCAGTGCAAACTGTTCAAAAGGCTTAAAATGATTCCAGACGATGAATAAGGGTCTTATCAAGCGAAACGATCGCTCATTTAATAAATAAATAACAAAGTTTAAGTTTTATAAGCTCAAATGCTCGGCTTGCTTTGTTCTGTGATGCACGTTCGTGACTCTCCTGTTCGAACTTGTTCATCAAAATGAACCAAATGACACGAAAAAAGATTAATTCATTTTCAGTTCATTCGTTCAGGAGAGTCACTTATTCGCTTGATAAGCCGCACATCACAGAACAGAGCAAGGCGAGCATTTGAGCTTATAAAACTTAAACTTTTTTTTTTTTTAAATGAGCGATGGTTTCTTTTGATAAGACCCTTATTCATCGTCTGGAATCGTTTAAAGCCCTTTGAACAGTTTGCACTGAAACTGTCTTTTGGACCTTGAACCGTTTGGTTACCAGTAAAGTCCATTATATGGAGAAAATCCTGGAATGTTTTCATCAAAAACCTTAATTTCTTTTCAACTGAAGAAAGAAAGACATGGACATCTTGGATGACATGGGGGTGAGTAAATTATCAGCAAAAGTTTTTTTTTTTTTAAGTGAACTACTCCTTTAAGTAGTTTGAGAGCGTAGGGAGATCGACTCGATTACACCAGTTGCGATTTTTTTGATTTGGGGAGATTACTTGCAGAATTATGGGTAATGTAGTTTTGCAACAAGAATCCACTGTTAAAAAGAACCTGATTGTTGTACTCTATGTTGGAGATAGTGGAAAGACGCTATATGATTACATAATGTCAAGACAGGTTGTTTTCTCTCTCTCCCATAGTATGAAGGAGCAAATTGAAATCACGAAAGACTCCATTGCAAACAGGAGCAGGTAGCAGCACTTCTGGAGAAACACCTTGCCAATCTGGAGAGGTCTTTGAACACTATGCAACTTCGACTGGCCAAACTACTACCCCAGTGATTTCATTTGAGCAACACAAGCCCATGTTAAACGGATATGTGAAAAAATTAATAATGCATGTTTTATTACCACATTTAATCACACAAACAAAAAAAAAACAAAACATATATGACCATATACTGCATGCTAACAGCATCCTGTACTTCTCTTCCCCCCCTCGTTCTTCAACTCTATTAAGTGAGTTACTAAGTAGGTACTAGTAATAAAATCTATTTATACCCCCAGACTAAAGACTTGTACCTTACAAATTTGTCTAAAATACCCTGTGA